TGAATAAATTATCTAACAATGTTAATTCATCTTCCTCTCCAGTATTACAATGGATGACTCCCATCTTCCTTAAATTATGTGATAGACTTCATTTCACTGGAAATGTCTGAACCACATATACAAATGTTTGTAACCATCCTGTTTGAAATTTTGCCATAGAATGTGAAATGGTTATTGCCTAGCTTGAAATGTACTATGTAAGAACTAGAACTTCCTTATGGAAAGTATATGGCCAAAGTTGGTAATCTTAAAATAATATAAGGAGGCGGACAATGTTTTTTTGACAAAGAAATATTCCTTATCCCTTCCAATCTTTACAATAGTACTATAATATTTTGGGAAGCAACATTGGATTCAATTAACAATATTGATTTTCCTAGATTCCTTTGAAACTTACGGAAATCTATCTAGAAAGTGCAAGAGTTTTAGTAGCCCAGGAACTATAAAAAAAGTTTGACAGTTAAGCTGATTGATATTTGAAATTAAAACTTAACTTTGCTAAATTTTTCCTTGTTTTCTTACTATTTAATATAAAAATGAAAAGAATTGTCCCTCTAATTTGAATTGTCCTTCTCTCTAAAATGAAAACTTTTCAAAGAGATTTTTTTTGGTAATAGCTGAAAACAACAACTTAATATATTTTATTCTTTTGCAGAAATTCTGTAAAAAAAATGTGGCATATTAAAATGTGATTGTGACAGTTTCATGATTTAAAAAAATAATTAATTCTATTTATATATATTTATATAAATTCTCTCACTCCCTCCCCCCGTGTGTGTGTGTGTGTGTGTGTGTGTGTGTGTGTGTGTCTTTCCTGTTCTGCAAGTATATTTGTCCATTTCTTTTTTAAGAGAAATTTATTTTTTGAGAGAGAGAGTGAGCAAATGAGGGAGGGGCAGAGAGAGAGAGGGAGACACAGTATCAGAAGCAGGTTCCAGGCTCTGAGCTGTCAGCACAGAGCCCGAAACGGGGCTCAAACTCACAGACTGCGAGATTGTGACCTGAGCTGAAGTCAGATGCTTAATCAACTGAGCCGCTCAGGCACCCCATATTTGTCCATTTCTATAATAAGATTGCATTGTTTTCTTTTCAATGACTTTATATTTTAATATGTGGTAAATCTTATACTCTGACTAGTCTATTTGTTTTAATACTTTTAATGGCTATTCTGTAAACTCTGATTTATTTTTTGTATGAAAAAACTAGGATATTTTATTTAATTATGGTATATTTAATTTGATTGCAGTTATACTAAATTTACATTTAAAAAAATAAATGCTATATCCTATCCATTCAATAAGAAATGTCTTCATTCCATTAGTTCAGATAACTTAATATTCTATGGTAAGATTATGTTTTATCACTTAGCTGTGGTGACCTTAAATTAAATTTGTTACTACGAATTTAATATATTGTGTTGACATTTTTTTTTAACTGAGTTGAATCCTCAGCAGCTTTTTTTTTTTAAGTTTATTTAATTTTGAGACAGAGAGAGTCAGAGCATGAACGGGGGAGGGGCAGAGAGAGAGAGAGAGACACAGAATCGGAATCAGGCTCCAGGCTCTGAGCCATCAGCCCAGAGCCCAAAGCGGGGCTGGAAATGGACCACGAGATCGTGACCTGAGCTGAAGTCGGACGTTTAACCGACTGAGCCACCCAGGCGCCCCTGTGTTGACATTAATAGAATTCTTTATCCTATCTTCATGAGTAGAGGATTTTAAGTAAATCTTACTTCTTTTTTTTAAGTTTTTTTTTTTTTATGTTTATTTACTTTTTAGAGAGAGAGCATCTCTCTTATGTGACAGACTTTGTTTCACTGGAAATGTCTGAATCACATATACAAATGTCTGTAACTATCCTGTTTGAGAGAGAGGGAGAGAGAATCCGAAGTAGGCTTCAGGCGCTGAGCTGTCAGCACAGAACCTGATGGGGAGCTCAAACTCATAAACTGTGAGAACATGACTTGAGCCGAAGTAGGATGCTTAACCCACTGAGACACCCAGGTGCTCCAAATCTTACTTACTTTTTAATCTTATCTAGTACACAACTTGCTAAAATCTCTTATTATTAATTCATAGAGTCAGAAGAATGAGTTTCTATTTAGGATCCACTTCCAGACTTGAAATACATTGTTGTTATTGCTATTAATATTATTATTATTATCATTTTGCCTTCATAAGAACCTCCCCAAAATGTTGAGTCTAACCGCCGTGAATCCTTAAAATCAACCAACTATATTCTCTTTCCTAACAAGGCCTTGCACTGAAGAGAAATTTCTGGTAAGGGAATAAATACTAATCAGGATAAAGATGATAGGAATGGAGAAATTTTAAGGTCCAAATAAAAGAGGAAAAAAGGAAGGAAGAAAAGTAGGAGAAGGATACATAACCAAGAAACCTTAGAAAGAAAAGAAAATTGCCATATATATGAAAACCGCAAAAGAGGAAGCTTTGAAAAGACAAATGAGGAGGAACAGAAGCCGGAGGAGGAAATGAAGGAGGAAGGAGTTAGCTATTCTGAATTTGTGCAACCTTCATAAGTTTGGGAAAACTACTTTCACATAATAAATAAATAAATAAATAAATAAATAAATAAATAAATACACACACACACACACACACACACACACACACACGATGTCAGATAACATAAAAATACTGCAGAAAGAAAGGAACAGAAGAGCTTCCCAACACACAATGAAAGCACATCAGAAAGACAAATGCACGTAACATATTAAAACCATTACCTACTATTTCACCACAATTAATGGTACTTAATAAAACGATAAAAGATAGGAAAAAATAGCAGGTATATAAGTGAAACATACTTAGGGCATTCCCACAAAGTCATGTAAATTGAATAAGAATTACATATTTTTTTCCCAAACAGAAATGAAGAGTAATGAGTAATACAAAAATGAATAAATATATCAGATAATCCCTTAAATGAAAAGCTAATGAAAGAGCAACAGTTTATTTTCCCCAAAGAGCACCAGTTTATGAATCAAAATATGGTAGCATGGATGGGTTCCTGGAGCAAAAAGGACATTAGATAAAACCTAAGGGATTCTGAACAGACTATGTATTTTTGTTAATAATATATCAACATTAGTTCATTAATTGTCATAAATATGCCACACTAATATGTGAATGATAGTAGATGTTATACTCGGGGAGGTGGGGAAGTTTATGGACAGCCTTCACTATCTGCTCGGTTTTTTCTGTAAATCTAAAACTTATCTAAAAAATAAACTTTATTCATAAAAAAAAAAAAAAACAACTGTATCATTGACAATCCTATAGTACTAAAAACTATATGACAAGTACCTAAAGAAACTAAACTGATGAGTGTTCCAGTTCAGTTACTAACATTAAAAGGAAAATTCCTTGAAATTTTCAAAAGGCTACTATGGGGTTTTCTGTTAACAATTCCAAACTGATCTTTCTTTCTTTTTTTTTTTTATTACTTCTTATAAGTAAAATTTAGAAAACTTACTATTACTGCAACCATGATTTACTTTCTGTTAATAGGTATCTCCTAGTAGACCCAATGGAAATTTCCTACATAGCCAATAATTTAACATATCCATAAGGAATAATCCCAAGTATTATGTGAAGTGTTTTCGACACCTAGTATAACAAGGAAATGAACACTTATGGCCTTTAATCATCTCTTTCACTCTATAATTTTAGGCTCTAGGTATGTACTTAATATTCGCCAACATGTTTTGTGGTCTGGAGACAGAATAACGGAGTATAATGCCTGTTTTCCTTTCATCCAATGAACTTTATAATGAAAAAGCATAGAGACCTCCACAATAAATTGCAAATCAGTTTCATTGAACCTAACATATTGATGAACTTACATAACAACATTATTAAACACACTAATAAAATTTGTATGTAAACATTTATTTGAGACTTTTTCCTTGACATCTCTGGAAAATAATGATCTCATCTGAGTAGCTAATAGACTTCCTTTTGTTATATAAACCTATATATATATATATATATATATATGTATATATATTTTTTTATCTTAACTTTTATACCAGCAAGCTCAGAATAAACCTTTTACCTCAGTTTCTTAGGCTGTCCTCCAGGCTTCTTTTTTATAAAGTTGTTTTTTAAGTTTTTCTTGGCTCAAGCGATTTTTAGAAATAGATAAGTTAGAAATAAATATACAAGCAAAATGCATAAAGAATTATCAAACAGCAGGATTACTAAATAAACCCTGTATTACATTCACTTCTGGTTCTGGCATAACACTTCAGGTCGGACAAAGTTATCTGCGCTTAGGAACATGTCCAAATAAGTACAGAAACAGGTCTCCTGTTCTCTTGAAATTTCCTGTTGCCACTGGAAACCATGCAATGAGAGATTTCAGTATTAAAATGACCTAAAACTGGATCCAATAGTTTAAATTTTTTTTTCAACGTTTTTTATTTATTTTTGGGACAGAGAGAGACAGAGCATGAACGGGGGAGGGGCAAAGAGAGAGGGAGACACAGAATCGGAAACAGGCTCCAGGCTCTGAGCCATCAGCCCAGAGCCCAACGCGGGGCTCGAACTCACAGACCACGAGATCGTGACCTGGCTAAAGTCGGACGCTTAACCGACTGTGCCACCCAGGCGCCCCTGGATCCGATAGTTTAAATAGGACTTCTAGAAGCAAACTCTCCAGGCTATTGCCCACAATTTTGATATGATTCCTTTTCTTCCTTCCTTCCTTCCTTCCTTCCTTCCTTCCTTCCTTCCTTCCTCTTTCTTTCTTTTTTTCTTTCTTTCTTTCTTTCTTTCTTTCTTTCTTTCTTTCTTTCTTTCTTTCCTTTCTTCTTTTCACTTCCTGGGTATGTTTATACATGCCAAAATGAAAGCAATACATCTACAAGGGCACAGCGATGCTCCATGTTCCTATCTAACACAGCTTGCTGAGGTTTACAGCCAGACTGATGTTCCAGCCGATGTGTACTCCAAAGTAAAACTGGCTAATGATGACCATGAACAGGTGCAGGACTCGAAGTTTTTACTTCTTTTATCATCACTCCTGATTTTATAAATGATGAAGCCCATCAACCCCATTCCTATCCAAATCTCCTGGTAAATTTGGGTATAATAGGACTTCATGAAGACTCAAACATTTTTAACAAAGCTTTGAAGCATCTCAGCACAGGACCTCTGGCTCAGGACGCCCCATCTAGTCGGCCAACAACTAGGAAAACGTCATTGAGTGATATGATTCCTCTTGAGGATGTAAAATTGCAATGTCTTATTTAGCTTCATTGTCTTAGCCAGTATCTAAGAAAATGTCCACAAATCTTTCTGAATCCTCACAACAAATACAACAACTGATTATTCTGTCTTAAATGTTATTTTTATTTCCATAACCTAATTGACTCTTTTATTAGTCAACTTTATTTGACAGTTCAAGGTTTATTAGAATTTGTAGAAACCTGGAATGTTCCTGCAAAAAAAAAAAAAAAAAAAAAAAAAAGCCTACCCATCCAGATGTAATCTTACTCAGACTTTTACAAAAGTTTAAATGTTTTTCCATCAAATTGGTGATAGAGTTATGAAACTTTTTAAGTTGAATTTATATAATCTCAAAGAAAAAAGCTTATTCTGAGCACTTTTTATCCCAAAATTAAAGTCAGAAATGTCCTACTCAAAATCATCTCATCTTAGAAGAATTGAAGTCAAAATGCCTTAAAAGACAGGCAGGGTACATCTATATGAATGTTTCTATATTTCTTTGTGTCAAGTATTGCTGAGTGAATCCATTCATTCTGAAAGATCTAGCCAAATGAGTTCCACCAAATCAATATGCTGGTAGTAATCCCTAAGTTTCCAAAGATTTCTCAGAACATCTGGTAGAGTAGAAAGCACGTATATGCCAATTTCAACTCATGTACCTCCTGGATTAATATCTAAATCTGGGAACTGGTAAATACCTAATCCTCAAATTTAACTGTGTAAAGTCTTTAATGATTAGGGCTTAGCAAACCATTTAACAACAGTTACCCTGAAAATACAAAGGGAAGAAAAAAAATGAAGAACATTTCCAAAATTCTAAGACCAGTGTCTATTCTTTTCGGAATCCATTTAGACAAAATAATGAATGAATTCAAATGTATCTATATCACCTTTCCCACTTTGTAGAGAAAGAATTCTTTGTGTGAACTTAAAGCCTGCTTATCTTGGATGCTTGATAGTTTTAGCATATCCATTACACAATTAAAGATACAAGATAAAATGTCTTTAGGACTGATAGCACTTTGAAATAAATTTACTTGAAAGCACTATGCAATATTTTACGAAAACCAATGGGTGGAAAAGTATTCAAGAAACCTGGAGACTGAATATTTCACCCTTGAAATGTGGAGAAGGGGGCAAAGAAACAAGAGACAGGGTTGTTGACTTCAATTTGTTGATAGCTTACAAGTTCAGCTAAACTTAGTTTTCTTCTTTTTGATATTTGTTTATTTACGATCCTGTGATCTGTCCTGTAAAAGGGGGAGTTTTACGTTTCATGTATATGATTATGGAAAATGTCTAAAAGACCTCACAATAAAGGAAATGTCTACTTCATCCCATCCCTGCCCTTAATTTATACACATGATGCACAGAGATGCAAGGCTAGTGCAAATGAACAAGGTTCTAATTGATTGACTGATTCATTCATTCATTCATTTATTCAGTCAGGTGTTCCATAAATACATGTTCTCAACTCTTATGCATATGAACTAGAAATAAAATGGTGAATTAAAATGACATGTTTCTCACTTTGGTAGAATTTAATGGAGAAGGTAATTATAATAAAGCAGCCATATGCAAACTATAGATTTAAGATTTCAGTCTGTGCTCATTGGTACAAAGAGAAAGTAGACAGTGAGTTTATCAATGTACCTGATTTAGGTCAGGGGGGCCTGGGCAACAAAGTCTTACCGCAAGAAATGAAGTTTTAGCTGACATTTCAGAAACAAGGAGGTTTTATTTTGTTTTATTTTCTTGTCTCTAAAATAGGTAAAAGTTGAACATGCAGAGGTTTAATGCCAGGATTTCTTTTCAGAATCAGGGGAAATTCAGATGAATTTATTCTGCTGCAATATGGGAAATCTACAGCATTTGTGCACAGAATACACACAGGGTAAATTGCTTTGGGCAAACTGCTACAAGTCCATTAAAGAAGATTTATCTTTCCTTCTTTTCTTCTCCTTTTCTCTTCTTTTCCATTTGGTTCCCCATGTAGCCTGGTTCTTAAGACTTTTACCTAATCTCTCAGCTTCAACTGTTATCCCTATGTGGCTGATTCTTAAGTCTACGATTTCAGCCCAGACCAGTCTTTGTGATTTCAAAACTTCCTGATGGATGTTTTCATTTGAATATCCTTTTCTTTCCTTAAATATTATACATCTGATGAAAACTTCTCATTTTTCCTCCATCCTTATCCCAGATGGTTGTCTAATAGTTCTGAGTTTGGAAAATTTAGGATAATAGGACCCTTCTCATATTCATTCATTCTCTGCCCCCCACCCTCTGTGTATGCATATGTGTGTATGTGTCCACATACCTAGGTGTGTGATTTCCTTGATTTTCATTAACATTTTCTATCTATGTGTGCCACTGCAATTGATATAATGCAATTTTTGTTCTTAGTTTTCGGTTTTGGTTGACTTTTACATAAATGGAATCATTATCAAGTGTATTCATTTAATATTTAACCGGTCTGTTGGGAATAGCTCTAATTTTTCATTTTCCTTGCAGTATAGAATTGCATGCATATAGCACAACTATCTTATCCATTCTAAAATTGTTGGACATTTCAGTTTATGGATATCACAAATAATATTGTAAAGGTTATTTTTATGTCTCTTAGTGATATGAATGATGAAAATGTCCTTGTCCGTGCAGTCCAAAATGGTATCCATTCATCATATGTCATATAGGAACATCTAATACTTGAAATGTGGTTAATATAACTGAATTTTTAGCTTGATTTTATTTAAATTTAAATTTAAATCACCACATGTGGCTACTGGATGTTGTAGGACAGTACAGCTCTATGGCATATACCTAGGAATGGAATTTCCAGGCTACGTATTATGTTCATTTTCAAATTTCCTAGATAATGCCACATAATTTTCCAAAATGGTTGCAAAAATTCTCACAATAATGTAGCAAATTTCCAATTAGTTAACATTTTGCCAGAATTTGGCTTTGTCAGCCATTTATATTTTTCTCAATCTGATCAGTGTAACATGGTATTTCACTGAGACTTAGTTTTCATTTTTAGAATTGCTAATGAACTGATATGTTTTCAATTGTTATTTACTTTCTTAAGTGTATGCATACTCATGTGTGTGTATAAAACACAGGTTGGATGTTCTTTTTTTTCTTTTTTTATCTTTCTCTTTGGTTGTTTAGTTTCTTTTTTTTTTTTCCCATAAAGGTGATATTCCAATATATTCTAGGTATTAATTCTTTCTTTCCTTCTATTTTTCTTTATTTTATTTCTTGCTTATTTTCTTTCTTTCTTTCTTTTGTTTGTTTCTTTTTTTTTTTTTTTTTTTTTTTTTGATAAAAAATGCTACAAATACCATTTTATTCCTCTCTTTGGATTCTCTCTCCACTCTTCACATGTGTATTTAATGAGTGAAAGTTATTTTTAATATAAGCAAGTATATAAATAAGTTCCTATTAAGTAGATATATGTTTGTACTGAGTTTCTTCAGATCTTTAAAAAGTATAGGTTCCCAGAAACTTAGTCCATGCCATCCCAACGATGCCTCATTTCTCATCTACACTGTTTTCTCTTAATTGTATATTTTCATTACTCCCTGTGTCTCCCTCTCTTTCACTCAAGCTATATCCTCTTTGTCAGCAGGATAAGCTCTGTTAAGCTAACTGAAGCACATGAGGAAATTTTAAAGTCCACAGAACTAGCCTATTATCACACTCAAAGTACGGTATGATGTTCATGGATCTGGGATTTACTAGAACTAAGAGATCCAAGAATTAACTAGTCTTGAACACATTCATTGGTTAGTATTATCAGTGAGTCTTCTATTGCTTCTGTCTGCAACTCTTTTCAAGTGTATGATTCATTCTAGCTCCATGGACTGTCTTCTGAGAGATGGGTTCCTCTAATCAGAAAGTTTATTCAATCTAAAATAAATAAATAAATAAATAAATAAATAAATAAATAAGTCATGGTCTTAGAATCCTTGAAATTTAATCTCTAGTCTGAGCAGGACAATTATTGTCCCAAAACAGTTGGGATTGTTGCTTGGCAAATAATCCATTTGTCTCCGTCTCCCACTCAGAGTACAGAGTACATCCCTGTACTGTTGATTTGGGGCTTGAATATTTGACTTGCTTTGATTAATGCAATGTTAATACAGGTTTTCCAAACAAAGCTCTTGAATAAGTTTGTGATTTTGTTTTCCGCTATGAGAAGCATATGCCCAAGATAGCCACATCCCCTTCAGTCTGGAGCCCAGAGCAAAACCAGTTGCAGCCTACTGGGAGACAATGGATTACAGTGCAAAGCAGCATAACCCAGTCAAACCAGTCCTAGGTCAACTGAACCACATCAGCAGAATGAAGGATTATATTGAAAACGACTGAGATTTGGAATAGCTTGTTAGTCAATTATTGCTGTTATTACTACAGCAGCAACTAACAGTAATAACACTAATACTAATAACTAATACTGGATAATTTTAGGTAGCAACTTGACTACACATGAGGTGCTCCTGATCAAACATTTCTGAGTGTGTTTGTGAGGATGTTTCTGGATATAGGCATTTGAATTGGTGACTTAGTAAAATAGATGTCCCTCTCCAATTGGGTGGGTGTCCCCCATTGTTTTGAGAGTCTCAATAGAACAAAAAGCAGAGGAAACTTCCTGCCCTCCTGCTTAAGTTTGCACTTTTCATCTCATCTTCTTGGCTTTTAGACTGAGATTGAACCATTGTCTCCCCTGGTCTTCAGGACTTTGGACTTGGACTGAATTATATCACTAGCTTTCCTGGGTCTCTAGCTTGCTCAGCAGGCTGTGGGACTTCTCAGCCTCCATAATTGCATGAGCTAATTTGTTGTAATAAATCTCCTTTAATATG